TTAACATTTAGTCCATAAAACCAACAAATCATAGCAAAAGTCAAGACAGTTTCAATAAAAGATCTATAAAACATTATCAAAATAGATTTATCCACAACAAAGGACTTAAGCTTCCTCAGTAAATATAACCGTTTTTGTGTCTTTGATACAACAAGGTTTGTGTTTTCCACCCAGCTTAGCTTATCGTCAATAACTGTACCCAAGTACTTGTATGAGTTGACCTTCTCAATTTCTTTACCTGCAATAACTATTTTAGATTGGATATCAACAGTTATAAAATTCTATCGTCATGTCTTTAGTCTTGGAAACATTAATTTGTAAATAAGAACTCTCACACCAATCCAAAAAATAGTTCAGAATGGGCCCATGCTCTGTATCTTAGCGCCACTGTATCATCGGCATATTTTATAATGTGTCTGCCTGGATATTGACTTCTGCACCTATCCGTATATAAAATAAATAAAAGAGGTGAGGGAACACAACCTTGGGGGCAACCCACTGAGGAATAAAGCTCGTGGGAATATTCTCCATTTACACGTACTATTTGAGATCTTCTGGTCAGAAAATCTAAAATCCAGGTCACCAAGCCCTTAGGAACATCAAATTCAGACAACAAATGTTCAGCTAAAAGAAGTGGTTTAATAGTATTAAATGCGGATGCAAAATCTATAAATAATAGAGCATGATTCTTACCAGTATCCACATGTCTATATATGAAATTTAGGAGTGTCAGAGTGGCATCCTCCACACCCCTATTCCTCCTATAAGCAAATTGTAGCGGATCAATCAACTGACTAGTATACTCTACAATCCAAGTTTTAATAATTCTCTCAAAGCACTTCATTAATAATGATAAGGAAATCGGTCTGAAATCGTTCATTTATCTGGCATTAGTCTTTTTAGGAATTGGCACAATAATAGATTTTTTTCACATTGCAGGTACTCTCTGTAATTTCAAGGAGGTCTGAAAAATAAAATGACTGATATCACAGAGCTGATAAGCACAACTCCTCAAAACTCTCCCACTCACTTTATCAGGCCCAGGACTTCTATTTTGTTGGGTGGTTTGCAAAATTCTCAAAACAAAGGTTTTATCAATCTGTATATATTCCTCTGTTTTTAAATTAGAATAAAAATCCATACACCTGTCATTAAAATCATGTGTATCAAATCTCCTAAAAAAGTCATTAAATTAATTTGCTATCTCTCCATTTTCTGTCAAAGACTTTGTCAAGGTAATTTCTATTTGTTCTTTATTTTTTGCACCAGCCATTTCTTTAATTCCTTTCCATGCTGACTGAATATTTCCCTTAATAAACTTCTCCTCCACTGATGCCTTATATTTCCTTTTTTTCCTTCCTAATCTCGTTTAGGATATTCAACAGAAGATTAATATACTTCTGTTCTATCTAGGTTCAGAGCCCTCTTAATGACTATCTTGTTTTGGAAGGACGAAGAGATGCTTTGGAAGTGTAAGTATGGCCCTCATAACTGTGAAAAGAGCACAGCTAACGTTACATAAACATTATCCCTCGGGTTCACAGGCCAGTCTCAGACTAAAATGCATGTTCAAGCTGTCTTAACTGAAAATATCTTGTACTGACACATCTTAAAATATGTCAGTGCCATTGTCGTGTCTCAAGATGCACACCAGTAAAGTTCTTAAGGCATTTTTATAAAAGTTATCTCTGTCTCTCATGGAAGTTATACAAGAACGAAACAATGTCGTTGTTCACATCAGGCATGTACATACATTACATACATTTTATGCACTAAAATGTACACTTATGCCACCTCACAGCAAAACTCCAGAGCAGCAGTATGTCATGTGGGTTAACTGAGACCTGTTCTGAGGAGGATCACTTTATTGACTGGCACACTGCACAATTAAATGTAAACCCTTAAGTCAGATGCCCTTATAAAGACTGTAACTTTAATGTTTGCTCTTCACAGAAAAGTTGTCAACGACAAGCCTGACATCACCCAAAGACCAGCTCTTTTTACAGTAAACCAGGTACGTATAAGTGCATTCATCCCATGTTGTATTTGCCATAATTACAAGATTCCAACTTGGAAAAAGAATTCATGTCCTTGTAGAACTCATAATTACCATCTGTAATCTGGGAATTTTCTGAGAGCTTCTACCTGTACCACGTGACCACTGTGTCTGACTGCTGCAGATTAATTTAGGCATGGATAGTGTTGCCATAGAAACGCACAGTTCCCGGTCCAAGGACATGAACAGCTCTAAGTAGAACATGGTGTGAACGCAGCATATGATCTTGAGTATTTGACAACAGCATTATCTAACTGACTTGATAATGTCTTTATCGATCTGTTTCTTCCTCTGTTAGGATGCAGCTGACAAGACAGACTCCAGTAAGAATCCTCAGTGTTGATCAAGCAAGTCCACATCTAACCCATCTAGAGTGGGAATCATCTTGGAAGAGAAGGCTTCTAGCAGAAGGCGGGTCTGCGGACCGTCATTCTCGCTGGATAGTCTTCGTCGTAAACGTCCTGACGCCTATGGCCTAGGACTTTTTGAGGGCCAGCTCCCTCTGGGGAAGAGCGGTGTACACCGCATTACACGGTGCCCGTCTCTCCTCAGTGCCCTCAGGAGGTCGGTCTGCCAACCCTGCCGTGTTCCAGGGCGCAGCGGTCTCCGGCGAGCGCTTCTCTCAGTTACCGCCCGGAAACGTAGCGGTACTAAGAGGCTTGCTACCTCTACGGAGGTATTTAGATGGGCTGTGGTCTAGTCTTCCTAGCAGACGACGTGGGTCTGAGGGCCGTCGTTTTCAATAGGAGACTTCAGCTATGAGAGTCCTGATGCTGTGGCTCAGGACCTCGGAGGGCAGGCCCCTCTGGGGAAGAGAGGTTCACACCGCATTACACGGTGCCCGTCTCCCCCCAGTGCCCTCGGGAGATCGTTCTGCCAACCCTGCCGGTGTTCCAGGGCGCAGCGGTCTCCAGCGAGCGTTTCTTTCAGTTACCGCCCGGCAACATTGCGGCACTGAGAGGTTCGCGGCCTCTGCGGAGGCCCCCAGAGCAGCTAGTTCTGCCGTTCTGGGCACACCAGAGATCAGTCTCGAGAGACTGATTCCCTTAGTAGATTATTTACCAGCATGGAAGCTACTGCCAAATGTGTCTCAATGGGTCCTGCGTACTGTAGAAAGAGGCTACAGAATCAAGTTCGGTTCTCGTCCGCCTCGATTCAACAGGGCTTCCCCACTCTAGTGGGTCCCGCGCAGGCTCTGGTATTAGAACAAGAAGTAGTTACTCTCTTAAAGAAGGAGGCCATCGAGGTGGTCCCTCCGCACGAGACAGACTCCGGGTTCTACAGCCGGTACTTAATTTTTCCGAAGAAGGATGGGGGGTTGTGTACTATTTTAGATCTGCGCCTATTGAACTGCTCAGTCATGCAACTGAAGTTCAGCATGCTCGCACTCAAACAGGTCGTGTCTCAGACCAAGTCCAAGGACTGGTGTGTCACGATCGATCTAAAAGATGCACATATCTGCATCTTTCCTCATCATAGGAATTTCCTGAGGTTTGCTTTTGGGGGCAAAAGCCTACCAATACTGGTTCTTCCTTAGGCCTTGCACTCTCACCCCACACTTTCACGACTCAACCACATCGTTAGCTCAATCAGAGCAGATGGTGTTTCGATATCGAGATGAGTTGTGCTCTTCCACACTAGGCAGGGATTTGCAAGTCTGGTGGCGTGGGCATTCTCGTTCCCAAAGCGTTTTCCGATGCAGCTCGAGTTCCTGAAGAGGAACGTCTCAGGTTACGTATGTAACCATGGTTCCTCGAGGGAACGATACGCTGCGTCTCGGTGCCATACTTCCAGCATCCCTGCCAGTGCTTGCTTCATTCCTGAAGCTGACACCGGCTCCGCCGCAAGTGCTTTTATAGCTTCCTGGCCATGACGTCACCCGCCCGTGACGTCTCGCCCAGCTATTGGGACTGATTTCGGATGTGATTCAGAGCGTGGTCGCAGAAGGCGTTCCCCAAGCGTTTTCCGACGCAGCAGGGCAAGTTATTTATTTTTCATTAGCTCAAGTTAAAAAATATAGATGTGAATCATTACCCTAAATTTTTTTTAATTGGATGAATCAAACATTTTTTTCAGTGCAAGGAAGCTTGATTTCAATTTTGATTTCAATGATTTCAAAATTTACAAAAAAAGACAAGTACACAGTCAGTAATAACATTATAAAACAAATTACCTCAATTACCTCAATTGTATTCAAAATATGACAACACTGAATTTTTATAAGCAGTGATTTAAGAGCCATATACAGTATGTTAGGCCTACCCAGATAGCAAACTGACATAGAATCAACGTTGAATCGACGTTTCTCATGGCGTCGAAACAACGTTCATCTCCGACATCGATCCAACATTGTTTTGCTCATCGGGGTAACGTTGATCCAACGTCAGGCACGTCAGGCAAAACTAATGGAAAATCGACGCAATTGGTTCACTTACCGAACATTGAATCGACGTTGATGACGTTGATTTTGAAACGACGTCACAGAATCAACACGTATTCAACATAAAATCGATCTAATTGGTTAGCTTACCTAACGTTAAAACGATGTTGATTTCAGCTGGGTAAAATGATGTTACTATTAACATTTTCTGCTTGTTTTAAAAATCTCACATACTTAGTACTAGATAAATTAGCCTGTATATGTAATAATTAGGGGTGTGAAG